AATCTGTTCCAATTGGAACGGATTAACCGGTTTTCAATTCATTCCTATGGGAAATGGTGTTTCACAGAACGATGTTTCACACAACGTTGATTTTTTTGGAACCAATTAACATTGTTGTGTGAGGCACCACTGTATACACACACACCCCAAACCCTTTGTGGCTGCAAATAACCAGAACTTTTATGCCTCCTATCCCTCTCCCATGTAAACCCGTGGGGCGTAAATACACAAACACACCTGCACCATTATCCCCAGCTGATACAAACTATCAGTTCTCTAAGCATGTATACACATACAGGTGTGCACACACACAAACACATACACACCTGGCCTGACTGCCCATCAGCCCATGGCTCCCTCAACGTCCTTGGGTCCAGAGGAAGGATGGTGCAGGCACCAAACCCTCCCTCTCAGGAGTGGGCTTCCACTCCCATCATCCCTAACTCTCATCTAGGGATGATGGGGCAGCTCAGTGGCTTAGGCTTCTAATGGCAGAGCCAGAGGTCGTGAGTTCAAATCCTCCACGGTGTACCTCCTTGACAGCGGCTGGACTCCATGATCCGCAGGGTCTCTCCCAACTCTGCAGTTCTAACACTGATTATTGTTATTATTATTATGCTAGTTCACAGCTTGGGGGGGGGGGTTCGAGGTGATATACCCCCCCCAAAGCTGTGCTAACACCAGATCCAACCAACTAGCTCTCCCCTAACGGGGTGACAGACAGGCAAACAGGCAGATATTTTAAAATTAAACAGTCTGACTAGCTAAGTTATTGGGGGGGGAAGAGAACGACTGCTCCCCCAATCTCTCTCCCCACCCCCCAAAGCCCTTCTTTTTAATTGCCTCTCCCAGGGTCTTCCTATGGAGGCGGCTGGTGGCTTCTGGGAACTGTAGTTCCCCCACCCACCCCCTTTGTCTGGGGGTTGTGGGGGCGGGGAGGAGAGCCCCTAAACAGTCTGACTAGCTAAGTTATTGGGGGGGGAAGAGAACGACTGCTCCCCCAATCTCTCTCCCCACCCCCCAAAGCCCTTCTTTTTAATTGCCTCTCCCAGGGTCTTCCTATGGAGGCGGCTGGTGGCTTCTGGGAACTGTAGTTCCCCCACCCACCCCCTTTGTCTGGGGGTTGTGGGGGCGGGGAGGAGAGCCCCTCTCCCAGAATCCCTTCAGCCAAAAGG